TTATCAGTAGAAAATATTTTTTCTTGTTTTTAGTTCTTTTATTTCACATATTTCATATAATTTACCCAGTATATTTATATTTTAAATGCACAGTTATATATAGTTTATGTTGATTTATTTTTATTGGTTAATTTGATCTTATTGTTATTATTATTAAATTTGATAATGTAAAGGGCTTCATGATAAAATTGTATGATCTTCTGAAAGTTCTGCTGATTATATTTGTAATAAAGCTATTCAGTAATTGCAATTTCTTTCATTAAAGGCAAATAAATTTACAATTATATATATATATATATATATATATATATATATATATATATATATATATATATATAATTATTTCAAAAGATATATACAGTTAAACTTTCGTAATTCAAACTCATATAATTCTAGTGTTGTTATCGGCTTCGACTAAACCGAATAAAAGTCGACTAATCGAAAGTCGAAATTAGTCAGCTTTGAAAAATCGAATAGTCGATTTAATCGACTACGGATTTCCTACTAATCGACTAAAAACAACTTGGTGGAGTAAAAATCCTAAAATCTTTATATCTTTTCATTCGATTTAACTTTTCAATCTTTGTTTGCTCATTTAACAACAATAGCATTTATTATTATAACTATTACCTAGTTTTTTGCTTACTCTCCTAAAGTTTTATCAAAATCATAGCATGTTAGCTTTTATACCTAATTAAACTTTCGATTATTTATTTCATTCATTTTTTTTTCTTTTGTTTTCTTGATGTTTGTGGTTCATAAATACTTTCAAACAGGGCTGTTCCAAGCAGGCTCGGACTTATTTAATAAATAGCAAGTATTTGAGGTCTCTAAATTGTAAAGGTCTGGAAATGCTGTCTCTTTGCAGGGGCTCCTCTTCTCTCATAACGTTTTGCTCCATTATTATTTGAATGATATGATATTAAAAAATAGAGAGTGAATATAAATTACTTTATTATTTTTATTACAATTTAAAAAAAAAAAAAAATTCGCATACTCTGACTAAATCGACTTCGTTGATTTCAAAAATGTATTAGTCAATTTTAGAAAATATATTAGTCGATTTAGTCGAAAGACGAATTATTTAATAGTTATAACAACACTATATAATTCTATTATATTGACAACATTAGTTCTATCATATTAACAACACTATTCTATACATTATATAAATTGAACAGACTACTCGTTCCATTTAGGGTTTGTTATTAGAACATATCATGAGAAACGTCAAGGAATTGAATTACACGAGTTCAACTGTATTTTAGTTTTTGATTTATAATAATTCAAAGTTGCAGTTTTTTAACGATTAATCTTTTTGTTTAAAGTTTTAGTACCACTTTAAGGAATCACGTATTTACGGGCCACACTGCGTAAATGTGTTTTAAACTGATATGGTTTTAAGACATTGTGTACGCCGAAAACAAAAGAAACATTGCGAATGAGGATTAACCTTTGTACGGAAGCTAAATAGACCTACGAACTTCCACAAATCTATCCAATTAGGCGATTTTAGGTTCTCCTGAAAACAAATGGATAAATAGTTGGGAAACTAAGAATTACCCCAATTGCAGCGGAAGATACCAGCAACATTGTGCAAACTTAGTTTAGCGACCTATAAGAGGTTTTATTTCAATACGGTTGAACTATAACTTTAAAACTATACTTTGAAAATATCGCAAGTTGAAAAAAAATTTTATACATTGCATTTTTAATTGATTACTGACTTATCGTCGGGTAGAGTACAAAACCGCGTAACTAGCATTGGATAATACCGCGTATCTACAGTACATTTTTTTTATTGGAGAAGTTTAAAACTTTATATTTTTTTTTATTTTAACAGATTTTGGGTTCATTTTATTATAAAGAGTATTATTCATGCTTTTTGTGTTGTCAAAAATGGATACTTGGTGTTAAACATTAATATAACATTCATAACATCCAAGTATAGTAGCCAATGCTAGTTACGCGGATTTGCACTATCCCCGACGATATACGTTTTCATTAATTAATGATTAAAATAAAGCGTTGAAAAAAGGGCGTTAACGGATTAAATCTCACTAGGGGCAGTAAAAAGAATTGCTGCGTGTGCTGAACTGTACTTTAGTCAAAACGATAACCGTAAAACTATTTTGTGCGATATATATATGCAAAAAACTGAGAATACGAACTGGTTGCAAACTTTAGTTTGAGAAGCGTTACTATTATCTGTATCTATTAAAAAATATATTTTAATTATTATCGTTGAAAAATTATTCTGGTAAATAACTGTATAATTTCAATAATTATATGTCAATATTTCAAAGTTGATATAAATTGATAGCAGTTCAATTAACATGTTTTTTTCTTTGACAAACGTCATTGACATTAAGAAAAAAGACGTCAATTCTTTTAAAGTAGCGTTTTTAAAGAAAACCTTTTTTCGATATTTTGTATTGATTGCAAGATTTGTGGTGATATTACAATCAAATCATCGAGTCAGCGTCATCAAATTGACCATCTAAAGTAAAATATTTTATTTACAAAAATAAAATCACCACATACACATAGGCTTTATAGTCAATAAAAGATGACACATTAGCACAGAGGCCTCAACAAACTCAAAATCCGTAAAAATGTCAATGGAAACTGTTTGCGGATCTTTTTAGAATTTTGTTTGCATATCACAAGTCTGTCGAATTTTGTTTGTCACAAATCTGTCGAATTTTGTTTGTCACAAATCTGTCGAATATTGTTTGTCACAAATCTGTCGAATTTTGTTTGTCACAAATCTGTCGAATTTTGTTTGTCACAAATCTGTCGAATTTTTTTTGTCACAAATCTGTCGAATTTTGTTTGTCACAAATCTGTCGAATTTTTTTTGTCACAAATCTGTCGAATTTTGCTTGTCGAATTTTGTTTGTCACAAATCTGTCGAATTTTGTTTGTCACAAATCTGTCAAATTTGTTTGTCACAAATCTGTCGAATTTTGTTTGTCACAAATCTGTAGAATTTTGTTTGTCACAAATCTGTCGAATTAAAAAATCTTAAGCTGTTCGTTCAAAATTTTAAAACCATTTTCAAATAAACTATATTTATACCAAAAAACATCTATGAATGGTTTAAATAGTTCTTTCCCTTTGACATTATATTTTATCATTGGCGAAATATAAACGTTTTTGATACTTCTATACTTTTAAAGGGATACAAAACAATATGAAAATTAGAAACAATCTGGATCAAACCTGAAATGACACTTGAATCCATAAGTTCGCATATTTACTTACATGATTACGGGTTGTAAGTAATCGTATGCGAATTAGAACTTGATTATGTTATTAAAGAAAGATAATCACCAATTCAACTAGTTAGATACAAGACATTCTGATAAAAAATACAAAAAAGTAGTGACGCTGTTTGAAAATAGTGGCACACGTTTCAATTATTCAGAAAAAGCTTACTCATTTCTAACGACTGAAACAATTGTTAAGGCTGAGCAGGCATTTTTTTCTGTTTTATTTTAGTACGAAAAATTTGCAATCATTTAGACGATAAAACTTCGGACGCGTTGTTCTTCCTGAAGTTACATTTCAAAACACATAAACATAATGTATTTTCTTTTTACTAACATAACACGGTTAGCACGGATCCTTATAATGCCTACCTAGCAAGAACGCCACTTAAACGGAAAGTTAGCGTACACATCAAAGTACCCAGTGATGCAAACTTTGAAATCATTTAATTTTGTCGGCGGAAAATAATTTAATTTGAATGTTCAAATTAAGTCAAATTTTGACTTCATAGTGCGCCAATAAAAACACTTGTAGAATTTGAACCACTCAATATAATTTGATAAAAATTGGTGCAAATGTAGCTAATAGTCACATCAAACTCTGGACATAATTTCAGCTTGATTGAATGACTGGTGTAGGATTTATTGCAGTTTTAGTTGAAGTTTTGTCAGTTTTTTGCTACTTATACCTCAAAGCGTTACCGATTACTTTAAAATTTGCTCACTATTTTTAAAAAAACAGTTACATGAGTGTTCTACTATGTAATACCAACAATTTTTTTTATAATTGCAGGCCATGGCTCCCTTGACGGTCATGTATGCATAGCGTGAATATACCAACATTTCCTAAGGTACAAACTACTGCCAGAATGCAAAAAAACTCTAAAAAAATGGTTAAGAAGGATTTCGAGAGATACCTACATAGAAAATAAAAATATTTATTTTTCTGAAAACAGAAAAACTGTGAAAAAAACAATTTTTTTTTATATTTACAAAGATAATTGACTTAAAAAATTTATATAAGTTAACTAAGATATCTGACCAATATAAAGGTTAGAGGGCCAGTCGGAGGAAAATTACTTTAACTGAATAACTAATTAGGTTGAAGGGTTGTTTTGCAATAAAACAACCTGTGTGACAATTATCAATAGTTTAATAAGTGTGATAATTATCAATAATGTAATTTCCTTATAAGTAAATAGTTTAAACATTTGTTTCCTGGTAAGAAAAGAACTATTCAAGAATTATTTCCTTATATTTAAAATTACCTCAATCAAATCAAGTAAATATTTTACTTTAATAGTTTCTAAATAATATGCGTTACTGTTAAGTGGATTGTTATCAAATATAAATTTAGGTCAAATTTTGTAAAAGGCAGAGTTTGATTTCGTCAAGTCAAACTTAGTGAATTGCCACGATTCCAAATCAAGCAAAGAATCATGATGAAAATCGAAAGTTTGTGTGCTTGCTCTGTCTGAAAAAATGTTTAAGACTTACTACTTTTCAAGCAGATCGAATATGCCATCTGTACAAGAATAAGATCGATATCAGTAATACTCGGGTACCAAAAGGATTCTGCAAACTGTGTAGAATTACTTTGCACAGGAAACAAGAGGGGAAAGAAGTTGCACTCCCTCCTTTGTTTCATTTTAAGTCAATACAAGTGAGACCTGAAACAAGAGGCATGATGTGTTGTTGACTAATATGCCGAATTAGTCGTTCAAAGCTGCAAGAAAAACATCCTCTTATAGAGCACACCACTATTGAGAAAAAACCAAAGGTGCGTTGCAGCAAATGCCTCAGCCCTTTAGAAAAAGGTTTGCCCCACCAATGCTCTCAAATAATGTTAAGGGAAAACATTCAATTTTTAGCAGCAAAAGATGCCAAATCATCCAAACAAATCGCATCTCGAGTTATTTCCAATAAAGAATTATCTCCGGAAGAAACTATTCTACTGGCTAAAGCATCCGGCGGGCCTCCACTTACAATTACCCCTGGTAAATATTTATATTTGAACAATTTTAACATATATATTGAAATAAAATCATGACTATTGATAAATAACAATAGATTTCAAGAAGTATATTTTAGACAAATTTCTAGTAAAAACGAATAATATGAAAGTTTTACACAAACTTACTAAACAAAGTTTATTGTAACTATAAAATATGTATGTTTTGGTTTTAGGTCAAAGTAGGGCGCAAACACCATCAAGTGCTCCGAAATTGACCATTTTAGCCCTTGTAAATGTGCAATTAAATACGGGTCTGTCAAACAACGGATAAAGAAACTTGTTAGAACTGTAAACATAACATCAAGCAGCTAATAGGTAGAGCAAAATTTCTACATGAATTTTCAAAGACTAGGTCAACAATTGAGTGATTTCTTCACCTGCAGCGACATAAAAATCACAGACGAAAAAACAGATTCTTGTACAGTTCATGTTGTTGCTCACTGCAATGATTTATCAAGTCTTGTGAATCATGTTATTCAGTCCCGCAAAAATTCTTGTGGCTTTTTTGTTAAGCTCGGAATTGATGGTGGCAAAGGTTTTCTCAAGTTTCGCCTAAGCATTGTTGATACTGCGTTAAGGGATGAAACCAGCTCACCGCACCAACAACCTCACACTAAAAGGACTGGTAAAGACACTGGAGTCAAGAGACAAATTATTGGTGGGGTTTCAGAAGATTTGCAAGAAACACACTCCAATATTGAACAAATCTGGTCACTGATTAATGCAAATGGAGTTAAACTATTTTTGGCTTGTGATATGAAAGTTGCAAATATAATTTGAAGTCTTCAAACTCATTTAAGTACGCACCCTTGCACCTGGTGTGACGTCAAATCCAATTGTCTTGCCAAATCTGGAAACTTGCAAACACTGGGCTCAATTAATTCAAGCCTTGAGTCTTTTCAGCAATCTGGCGGGGTTGTTGCTAATGCAAAACTGATTGGCAATGTCATTCGAAAGCCAATCATCTGCAGGCCTGTGAATGTTCTGATTTTGGAAATCATTCCACCGATGGAATTGCATCTCCTCTTAGGAGTTGTCAACTATCTTTTCAAGATCCTTAAAACTGCTTGGATAGAAGCTGTTAAGTGGCCAGCCGCCCTCCACATTCAACTGAGCCTGTATCACGGGGGCCCGTTTGAGGGAAATAAATGCAGGAAAATTCTTTAAAATGTGGATATGCTGCAGTAACTTGCTGAGACAAATATGTTTCCAATATTGTGTGCATAATTGAAGCATTCAATAGCTTTAATTTAGTTGTCAAGGCTTGCTTTATATACATCTTCAGCCGGATTTCACTGAAAAAATTTTTCAGTGAAAAGATTTCACACCCAAAATTCACGCCGTCTTCTACCACATGAAGGATTTTATCAGTCACAAAGAGTCCCTCATGGGGCCCTATAAGGAACAAACTGTCGAAACTTCTCATCAAGATTTTTATCAACATTGGTCAAGGTATAAGCAAAATAATAATCATCCAGAGTACAAAAAAAGATTGTTGCGCTGCATAATTGATCTAAACAGCAAGCATCTTTAAAGAACATCATTTGAGTTATTAAAAATTAGGCTGCTGAAATTCATATTTTACGTCGTATAATGAATATTTTCACCATCTTTAAAAGTAGTATTATAGAGTATTTGTATTAAAAGAGTACATTGAGCTATTTGTTAATAATCTTTTGGTGGAGAAAATCAAAAAAATATTTCTTAAAATGTAATTAGATATTTGATGGTAATACAATGTAAAAAATAGAGTTTAAATAGTTTTTACTTCATTTTAAAAGTAAATGTATTTAAGGAGTTCAATACAAAATATTTTAGGAGATTTGTTTTACTAACTGGTAGTCTTTTGACCAGGTTTTGCACTTTTCTTTAGCTTTTTTTTTTGGCAGCAGTTTATACCTAAGGAAATGTTGGTATATTCAAGCGAAGCATACATGGCCGTCAATGCCGGGGAGGCTAGGGGATCATGTCCTTTTTTTTACATTTTTTTTTTTGCAAGGACCTTTTGTTTTAGAAATATAGGCAATTATTTTAGAAATTATGGATTTTATTTTAGAAATTGAGGGGTTGACCCCCTCCACTTTAAAGTCCCTGTCAACGCCATTAGCGTAAACCAATTCAAATCACGCTTTAAGTAGCAAATCACTATTTTGGTCTGTAAAATGAAAACTGTACATGTACCGATAAAATAATTATAAAGAAAAAAATGTTGGT